ACACATTTATTATTATTATCATCTTAATTAAAGGTTTTGTCACTACCACCTTTATCTTCACATATATCATTGTTGTTCCTTTTTTACCCTTCTCCCACACTTGATCATCACCTCTTAAGGTCTCCTTCAGTGTCAGTGCTAGGCATGGGCACACTAGATGATAAACTGTATGTATACATATTCATTATTTTCGCAACATTTATACATTTGAAGTAAAAAAAAAAATATTTCCAATGTTGAAAATAAAGTAAATAATAAAATGATTGCAAATCATTGACAAAAAGTCTTTCTTAAATAATTATCCCATTCCAATACATATATGTTTCAGATAATGAGAGTTACATTTATATATGTATATTTATGAAATAGAAAAATGTATGTAATCAAATGACACTAACATTAAAATAGGTTCTACTGAAATTGATATTTATTATTTCCTGTATTTAATTACATGATTTTATTACACACCAACTGAACACCACTCCTTTTTTTTTTAGTTTTAGCCTCACAGTGGAAATTGGATTATATGATTATTAAATACTTTTACTTAAAATTATTATTTAAAATATATTTTCAAAAACCTTTTTCTAGCTTAAACACAATTTTCGTTATTTGTTGACATACAATAACTTCTGGTTTCCTGATACAACTTTCACATACTATTAATTTTTTCGGGGGTATTCGTCATTGGCCCGGACCCAAAATTGTCTAGCTCCGGCACTGATCCACCTAAAAGTTGAATATGCAATTGTCTTACCATCTACGTCAACACATTTTCTTTGTTCCGCTCATGTTCATGGTAACTTCTTTAACAGAAAATAATTGAAATTCGCACCGCAATGTTCACGTGATCGAGTTGCTTATGACGAACTCGTGTATCTTCGTTTCGCAAGAAACGCACAAGATAGTATCATATATCTAAGCTTCAAAAGTTTTTGTTAAGAAAAAATTATCATTACCTCAGTGGTTCTATGTAAGAATGCATACTTCTTTCAATGCGCCCCCCCAATTTCTATCCTTGTCAAAACGCATGTTCACAGGGTTCATACACGCCGGGCGTCGCACAGAGGGTTCGCGTGGCCTTGTTGAACGTCAGTCTCGGTAACGATTTTTATTAATTTTCGCGTTGCGTTTCACGTAGAATAGCATTTGTTCGAGACACAATCTACCCCGCCTTTCAAAACCATTGGTCTGAATTCCCCCGCCAAATACGCGGTGGATGCCAATGCACGTCCGCGAACATAATACATAAGGAATTATTGATACGCGTGCTGTCCATCACCTTTGCAGCTTATTCTTTGGTCAAAGTTTCTTCTGGACATGAAAAGGTAGATTAAAAATATAAATCCTACGCGACTTAATCAGTGAATATATTTAAGAAAAAACATGTCTTGTATTCGGGTAAATACGGTACATAAACAGTTATATTGAAATTTAAGAGTGGAATTGACAAAATATATACTCATTTTCATTTTAAGTAAAGTTTCATTGATATTGCCCTCTTTTTACTTGGGATATATTGAATACTTTTCTCCCAATCTTTGGAAAAATTATGAACTCGTTTCTGAACAGAAAACTTTCTTCATTACTTAAAATATCATTTATTTTGAGGATCAGGTGTAATATATTTGGACTATTAAAATAAAAACTTTGACACATTTTTATGAAGTAGGCGATTTATATTCCAACAATTAACAACAAATTTTGTATATTAACCGTCATAAAAGGTTCAAAAAGAATCATCTATGTGCATCAGCAGTTACGAGGGATTAAAAAAAAGAGGTGGGGATACAACTTTTCAAAGGAACATTTCATAAGCATCTAGGTATATCCACATAAATGATGTACATGACACACAATTACTTTTTATGTATTTTCACTCCAATATGGATAGGAAACAGATGAAAGTAAGATACAAATTACAAATCAATAAATGCATTATTTATTCTGAAAGTCCTCCTGTGTGTGAACATAGTACAGTGAATTCTAATTCATTTATTCTCATACAAAATGAATGACCAATAAAAGCATGTTTGGATGGGTCTTGCAACTGCTGCCACATGAAGTTGGCAATAGGCACAAGAGACTTTAGTGCCTGTTATGATGAAAGGAAGTGAAGATGGGGAACACACTTCTGTATGGAATGGTTCAATTTTATCTGAATTACTTCACAAGACTGTAAAATGTAAGACATTGTTCTTTCACAATTTTACTATTGGAATAAAACTTAAAAATACAAGATTTCAATCCTCCTGATTTGTTTAAAAATAAACATTTATCTCCTATTTTCCACCTTAGGGTGTATTTTGTCGCTACTTTTCTTTTAATACTGATACATACAATATTGTAGAAGAGAGGAATAATTTTGGGATTCAGATTCTTGAAAGGACAAGATCATTGTCAAAAACTCTTGGACGAATGTGAAGTTTTAAATGACATAACAAACTTATTTCAATAAAAACAATGTGCACATTCTTTTTCTCCTTGTGTAATATACAAAACAAACTAAACTATGACATGTATTTCTATACCAAAAGACAAGGATACCACATCCACTCAAGTGTCCTTTTAACAGCTCTCATGATGAACTATGTACAGGACTGTGTATATGCTACATATATGTCAATAAATACTAGAAAAAGAATTGCACATTTACCTTTGCAGCAATGCAACACAAAATGTATACATATAAAAAAAAACAACTTCTAATCGTCAAGAAGTTCCATAAAATACATGAAAGCATTTTAATCCAACCTTTACCATTACAGATTGGAGTGAAATAATAACATCATTTACAACACTGCCAATAGGAGAGAGAAAAAAGAGAGACACAGTACTTTACATTTGCAATTCGAAAAGTTCTCAAAAGCCTAATTATATAAATTATCTGAGTCGTAAAAAGTTCTTCAGTCATCACACTAACATTTTGTAAAGCCTGCAGTGGTTTTCAATAGAAAAAAAAATTGCAGTTCATTAAAATTGTTTTAAAGAGATTTGTACACTTAACAGCCACTCTTTTTACCACACGCACATGATCACTTTCCGACGCGAAAAAATAAATATACAATAACAATATGGGCACTGGACTACAGTCTGCATGTGATTAAATGCCATTAGCAAGTTATCACTTAGTCCAAGCAACCACACAAGTATACACACACACATATTCACACACACCTCTTCGGTGCAGAAGCTAGGCCTAGCAGGGTCATCTTTGCCCAGATTGATGATTCATATCATATAGGACTTGTGCAATTGTCCGAGACGACTCAACATTGCTGAGAGCAACACTTGCAAGATGAGGCTCGTAACTGCGAAGGAATCTAGAAAAGAAAATGAAGAAAAAATATTATACTAATGAAGCCCCAAGTTTTTCTTTGCTCTGTAAATATCTGAAACTTTTTCTATAATATTCACAATAACTTGACTAAACTAAAGGTTTGTATAATTTTAACATTAATTTAAATTCCTGTTGAAGGGTATAAAAGTGTCAGCATACTTTTTTAAATAATCATTATTCTGTTGCTAAAAAATTATTATACTCATTATCTTTCTAAAAATTTTCTTTCTCCTTATTTAACTTTATGCCTTAACACAAAGCACTTTAAAAGCTCACACTGAAAATTGTACTTGCTCCTTTTGAAGATCATATTAAAGACATCTAATCTCTAATCTTCTAAAGTTTTGTAGATTCTGTTGACTGCTTACAGTAACAGTCAGAACTTCATTGGTATCTTTAAAAAAATAGCTAAAGTGAAAAATGTAGTAATATTATGCTTTCATCATACACACAGGGAAAAAGAAAATCTTCTCATAAATGAGAAGAAGAAAACTTGTTCCAGTTTCCCAAGAATTTGGTATTCTTTAATAACCAAACTTTAAATTTTACTTTTGTATCTGCAATTAGTACTTCTTAACTTCCTCACAAATTGAGGATTGCAAACATTTATCATTTGGTTTTCTCATTGACTACTTGTGTTTTTTAGAGAAAGCTTTCAGTCCATCAGTTTTCAAGCTGAGTGAACTATCTTGACTTTCCTTGCCTAACCTCTCTACTTTTATTATAACTTCTCTAACTTTCTATTAGTTAACTGTAATTCATCAATCAAAAGATCCGTTCATTCATGTCAGCAAACTCATACATAGAAACTGGTACAAATAAACACAAAATGACAATAAATAAATAAATTTTATATATATAGTGAGAGAGAGAGACATAGAGACATTTGCCATATACAATGTTATTCAAAAATCCTATATGATCTTTACAAAATAAACTGATCAGCAAAGTATTTTAAAGATTGTGTAAATTTAAAATTATTCTCACCTTCTACCATTTGTAGAATAGATGACTAGGTTTCGAAGAATGAGTGATGACGTTAAACGTATGCTTTTTGTTACTGGACCTTCATTATCATCCTGAAATTCAAACATTGAAATTATGAGGTTTCAAATACAAATGTGATCTTCTTTTGGCAGAATAAAATGAAACTTAACACTTCTGTATTGTTTGTCAGAGAGCCAAGAATTTAACTGCAACTCACTCTTCTATGGAATTACATTGTTACTCCAGAGAATCACCTAAAAACTGTTTAATAACATTTTAAAAAATACAAGGAACTTAGACTTTTTCAGTAAATCACCATGCTATATAATTTTAGTATTCCCACCTTTCTGAGATTTGTATTGTTTCAAATTAATATAAGAAGAAACACATATAATTTCCCTTATCATGAAATTATCCAATAGATACTAAAAAATATGTTCGAAGTACTGACAATAGAAAAACTCAATTCATTTAAATAAAGTACATGTGAATACAGTATTCATAATATTTCTTACACACTCTAATTTGCAGTTGGTCAAATATTTATAAAAAAATACATCAAACATGGATAGATATGACTTCACTGGAAAACAATTTGTGCATCAATCTTTATAGCATAATAGTATGGTTCAATATTCATAAATTAACATTGCTGTTATGGTTATCTGCAAATGTTTCACTGCTGCTATTTTATAATTAACCAAAAATTTGAAGCAAGGCTTTAGGATATTTTGAATTTCATTACCAAAACTATGAATTTATGAAGTACCATCACAGGGCAAAGGCGGATAACCAATATTTATTTTGACAATATCTTTAGAGTAGCATTAAAAAAATTATTTCCTTGATCTATATATACATGAACTTACTTATAATTGCAAGGATCCTACTTATTTTCTAAAAATACAAAGCAAACATGGTAAAGGATTTTATTAAAAATCAAAATTTTAAATCAATTATTGCACATGCCACAAAAGCAGACTAATCAGTCAAACACAATTTGCATCAGCAAGATTATTAAAAACTTGTACTTCTTCTTTCCAATTTGATAATATCATGTTTTTTTTCCATGTTTTTTAAGATGTAAATGAACCTAGTCATATCAATCTCTCAGGAGTGTTGCTTGACATATCATTTTAAAAGTCATATCAATTTCTTAATTTAAACTGATTCACTGGCTTTATTAAACATTTCTTCCAGGTTTAGATTCTTTACCTTAACACACACACATACACATGTCAGACATTCAACAAATTTAAAATAATTGCAAGACATCAGTTAACTGAACAAAATCAGTGAAATACTACAAATACTACACAAGCACAATTTATGATTCATATTAATTTCAGCAAAATGTTTATCACTAACTGATGTGAATTGAAAAAATATGAAAGCAAATTTACAATTTTAAAATATACAAAGGAAAAACAAATATTTAAGGGCAAGTGCAGAAGATACTTACAAAATCCATGCTCATTGAAATAGGCAATTTCAGTATTAAATACATACTATACAGTGAGTGCTTTAGTAAAACCACAAATGAAATTATAAGCTACTAACTATTGAAAGGCCTTTCAACCGACACAATTTTAAAAGACAAGAAAGACTGTACAGTTCAAAATTAGATTTAATGAACTCCAAATCAGAAACAGCATGCAACACACAAGTAATTCAAAATTTTACACAATTAGTTTGAAAAACTAACCACAGGATAAGAATAAAAAAATAAATACTGTATGTATGGAGAATAAATAATCCATTAATCCTGAACGAAGGATATTTCTGAGTTACGGTTGCAAAAACAAAATGAATATAGTAATTTCTACAGCCTATTTGTGCTAATTCTATTATAATGTAAAGATCTATAAGCAAGATTAAAAAAGTAAAGTTAATGTACTAGACAATAATGTTCTTTTTATTTACACATTGAAAACAGTTACTGACATGCAGATCACATGCTAAAATAATAACATTTAGCTATAGACTTGCGTAAAATCACCAATCAGCAGTGAACGTGTCGGTTTGATTGGTTGGCCTGTAACCTTACCTGCTCGGGCGGGCTTGGGCCTGTCCGAGCCGGGGCGATTGTGGCTGGCCCCGTTTTTGTGGGCCTCTGTGATGGGAGAAAAGCAATTCTGAGTAAAAACATTTCCTTCAAAGACGTGGTTTTACTAAAGCTTTTTTTTAACACGTTGATAAGTTTTCTCATTTATAGGAAACCTGACAATTAACTCGTTTAATTTATTTCTACGTCTGAGACATTTTCAGTTGCCATAAAGATGCATGATAGCTGCCACTACCACATAAAATCCAAAGTTAAGATGAACATAGCAACAAACATATTCTTCTTGGAACAGAAGCAACATTTATTAAGAAGACAAACTTTACCATATTAAAAAGCATATTTTAAATAAATTATAAGCTAATAAATTATATTATAGGAAAAAATTTAAATACATAAATGATGAAAGGAACTAGACTTCAATAGAAATAATCAAGATGTTGGGAGTTTGATTTATCATGTCAGAATATCCCCAAAAGCAGATAGTGAAGAAATAGAAAAATTCAAAAATCTCTTGAATTATGTTTTAGTATGTTCCGTTACAAATTATTTTATGAACAAACACAATAAGTATTTCACATTAAAAAATTCATCATCTTCCCAACAAAAGATTTAAAAAGAGAGTGACAGAGAGAGAGGGGGAGGGGAAATAGAAGAGTTGGGGGGGGAGGAGGGGAGGAGATGGAAGTTATCCAGATGAAAAGATGTTGACACAGAAAAAAAATTAAAAAATCTCCTCCGGATCTTATACATTTTTAATCAGTTAAATCAGATAAAATTAATATAAATCAACTTCACAAGTTGAGCACTACAAGCCATTGCTTCTTGTAAAGCTCTAGCTTTCAATGGCTGGGGGTCCCTACTAAAATGTAAGGAATAAAACACAATCTAATTAAGAGTTCAATTGCAAACTGAAGTCTTTCACAGAAGCACAGAAATAATTACTAGGAGAGAAAAAGAACAAGATAATTAATATTTTTAATCAAGGGAGACATTTAAAATCTTAGTTCAACTTGCAAAGAATAGCAATATTAACTGGCATTAAAAGCGCAAATGATTTGTGTACACTATAATTACATAAAATCAAAAAAGAAAACCAACATCATTTGCAACTGTATCATTGGGTGTAGCTAGAGAAAGAAAATTAGACCTATTACTGAATCAAAAAGCACCACTTTCAATATTTTACACGATAATCATAGAAAGCATCAGCATAGTTTTTGTGACATTATTATTCTCATCTACCCTTAACGGTTTTTACAAAACATTATTGAATAATAAAAAAAGTAATTTTGATTTTTGCACCTAACCAGGCAAGTGGTGTACAGTGGACCAGTTTCATAACCTGCAAATAATAATGCATTTTTTGTATTTTGTCTAAACAATTTTCTGAAAACGTTTATGAGCAGGGGATATGCAGATGACACGAGTCAGACTTCCTATCATTTAAATATTTTGAGACAATCCACCTGATTTTGCCAGCATCTTGTAGGTACAGTATGCAAGAACACAGCCTTCTTATTCTTCAAACTTATTACAAATAAGCACTGTCCTGAAGGAACATCAATTTTTAGGTTTTCCAGAAAAAAATATAATGACGTCTTTGAAAACTAGTAAGATTAGATGAGCTCCATTGTTTTCTAGCATGTGTAAAAAATAATGATGTAAAGTAATAGAAAGTCAAAGAAAAGTATTGTAACTAAACTATATGTAAAGAGATGATATGGATCAGCTTGAACATACTTACTCATATAAACAATTAGCAGCAATTGCTGATCAATTACATTTTTCATTAATACAATGAATGTGGGATAGTTACAAATGTAATTTAAAGAGACCAGAATTCTAAATGGAATGTAAAAAGACAAAAGATCTTCAAAGAGATTAGACAGTTGTTTAATGTTAACATTGCAGAGGGTTTTTTTTGTATACCAATAGAAAGAAAGTGGAATTGCAAAACAAGTATCAATAACATTTGTTGTAGGGGTAACTTTCACATCGCAGAGAATCAAAGACGATTGCAAAGAAGATTTCATTTACATTTAAGAAAGAAATAGAAGGAAAAGGCAGTGATGTAGCTCTTGTTCGAAAAAGGATTGTAATACATGAGAGAGTAAACAGTGTGTACAATGCATGGAAAAGGGTTTAAAAAATCAAATGTACATTATTTTTAGGATGTGATTTAACTAAAAAATCGAATTAACGTGTTCTGATTAATTATTTAAATCCAAAAAGCATATCTATTGCTTGCCTGGTGGCATCATCAAAATACGTTTTCTAGAAAAAAGTGAAGTTATCAAAAATTTTGATCTTTCAAATTTGTTTAAAAGCTCTATGAAACAGCTCTATGAAATAACCAAGAGATGGGTGAATCTAAATCCTAGATTTAGATAAAATAATTTCAACCATTGATCATGGTAAAAACCTGGGAGAGCAGAAGCAAAATGTAAAATGTTTGGAAATGAAACAACTAAGAAACATTGCAAACATCAATAATTACAAGTTCAACATGCAATCAGAGAAGTAAATGGCGACAACAAAAAGTGGGTATCTTAATAATTTGCATTTAACATAATCTCCAAGTTAATAATTTATAAGTTGATGAACTTGATAAATATTATTGTTTGGATCGAGAAATTTCTTGGATCCTCAATAAATCAACTAAATTAATGTCAAATATGAAAATTTCAAAACTGAAAAAATTTTGTTTATGGCCGTCATTGCTTTCAACCACAATAATGATGGATAAAAGATGGCCAAATATTTAGACACATCTGAATCCATGCATATTATGTATTTTGCATCTGCATGGATTCATTTTCTATTTTATTCATGTTTATTCCAGATGAAATTTGCAACAGGTGAGCAGAATAAATGTCACAATATTTAGCCACTTTTTTAACATAAAAACATCAAATGCAATACCGCAAATAACAGACCCAATAAAATGAGCTAAAATGCACACCAAGAAGTAGAATGGCCTGCAACAATAATCATATTTACCATCATACTCCTTAGGATTGACAAATTCTAATCGCGTGTCTTTTGATGCATGAACGCTGCATTTGCGAGCGATAGCGCCAGGATGTGGAGCGTGAGGTTGTGGCGCGACGGCTTATTTTCACTGCCTCCCCACTTTGTGACAGCCTTCTTCGACCGAACTGCCATCATTCTCAGCACCCACTACAAACAATTGACATATTTATATGCGATTTAATAAGTGCACATTTATCATTACAAATGAAAATCTGTGTAAAACAGAAAACACATAAAATCATAAGTCTGTATAAACACTTTTTCCTTACGATAGCATTGCCAGTGCGCGGTCAAAGAATAGAGCATCAGAGAGAACGCTTCGCTTTTCATGCGCCATCACAACGTTCCCATAAGCATGAATTTCTTCGCTTCTTCCGCCGACAATGGGATTCACATGCATGCATATAGACCATCTGCGGCGAGCTTAAACGTCCTAAATGCAAAACAAAGGTTGGATTGCCTTATAGCCACTGAAAAACAAAATTACCTGAAATTAGTAATGCTACAAAAAGCAAACAAGGTTGGTAATACCTCATGCACCCACGCCATTCACAGAGGTAGAGATTCGTATCCACTATAGGCATAGCTGAACCAGATTTCTGATGAACATGAGAAGTGGATTGTTGAGAAGTTTGCGATGAAGAAACCGGGCTCTTCGTATTTCTTGTCATCATTGGGCTCATTTTCTCATCTTGCTGCGCCAACTGGGTGCGTGTGACAACCATTGGTCTGGGAGGAGTCTGCTTCACTTGTGCTGTCATGGACCTCGTGTTGGGGGATGAATGCTGACTGGTTGTGGTAGCAGTACTTTGAGGGGTGGAAGGCCTAGGGCCTGGTGAATTAGCAGTGCCAGGATTCTGAATGTTTACTGCAGTGGCTGTGGTAGTTATGACTGGCCTGGCCACTGGCTTGCCAACTGATGGAGATGTAGTCACAGCAGGATTAGGTGTTATTATTCTTGACTGTTGGTTAGGAGGTAGACTAGCAGGTGTGTTAGAAACAGGAGGAGGCTGATGACCACGAATTACCATGGCAGTAGATACAGGAGTATTGGAAGTAGTGCTCACTGTTTTTACTGAAGAGGTACCAACAGATGTGTTTGTAGCTGCAGGTGAAGCACCAGATGTGGGAACCAATGCTGGAGGCTGCAGCACAGGAGTGATATTTGTAATGGCAGGACTCTGAAGAATAGGCCTAGGGACTTGTGTTACCACCACTGGTTGACCTTGTGGTGTCACTACCACCTTTTGATGATGTGTTGCAGCTGCTGAACTCTGTGGTTGGAGAATGATGATAGTTTTTGTACCAGTGCCTTGTTGCTGTGGAGTCTGTGCAACAAGGACTGTTTGAGTCTGCCCTTGAACCAAAGCGGTTTGGGGCTGAGCTACAACATAGTGAGTCTGTCCACCACCACTTGTTGACACGATGTACTGTCCTCCTTGACTCCCACTGGCAACAAGTTGGACTTGACCCTGTGGTGCCTGTGACAGAATGAATTGTCCAGAACCTGACTGAGACAGCACTACTTGTCCTGCCTGTACTGTGGCGAGGCGAGCCTGCTGAGGAGGCGTACCACTTGTTTGAACTAACACTGGGACAGCCTGATGGCCAGGGCCAGCTTTAATGGCACCTGCTGCTGCAGCAGCAGCTGATGCATTTGGGTTCTGCTGGAGAGTAATCTGTCCACCAGCGGTAATCAACACTTGACTTGAAGGAAGCTGTCCCTGGGACACTATGATCTGCCTGGGTGCAGCGACAATCAACTGCTGTTGCTGTGAGCTGCCTTCCACACCTTGACCCAGAAACACTTGGCGGAGGCCTCCAGGCACCAACTGGATATTGCTGGCTGGAGTTGCTGGAGGAGGAGGTGGTGGGGGAGGTGGCCTAGCTGGCTGCTCTACTTCCAAATCTACTTCACCTTCCACAGCAGAAGCGGCTAAAGCAGCATACAGATTTGCTGCAGAAGGATAATTACCACTTGAAGATGGTGCTTCCTTTGTGTTCTCTGTATTGCAAGCTGTTGTGGCAACTTCTGTTTTTGGAACTGTTGGAGGAGCACTTGGTTCCGTCTTAACAACAACTTCAGATTTTATACTGACACTAGGATTTCCTTCAGATTTAATTACAGATACAGCAGAATTAATTTCTGTTTTTACTACATCTTTACATTCCAACCCAACAGAGGATTCTTCCTCCTTTTTAATTACTGTTGGTGGACCTGGTGAGGCTGTTCCGTTAATAACAGTGTCGGAAGATAGATGAATTCTCTTAGCATCCACAAGACCTTCTTCAATAGGATCAGTCTCGGCTGGCCTTTTAGTGGCCTGGATTGTCTGTGTTTGCTGTGTTACAACAGCTTTTACATGCTCAGCACTTATCGATTCATCAGTAACAGTACCTACAGTCTTAAATGCAATTTTTTCTACTTCAGGAATGGACACTTCCTGAGAATTTTTGTTACTCTGCCCTACTGTCCTCACCACATCACTTACTTCTTTCAAGTCTTTAACGTCCTTCAAAACTTCAGCACTATCTTTCACATCAAAAGTTTTGGGCTGTGGATTACATGGTACTGTGTCTTTTAAAACTTTCTCCAGATGATTTTCTACCAATTCCAACCCCTTTTCACCTATTCGAAGTTCTTTCCCTAATGCTCCATTCAATATAGGTGGCTCTTTTTTGTCTACTTTCTTCTCGAGTAAGTCTGCCAACATAAGACTTTTTGTACTAGATGTCTTTTGTTGAGGGGTCCCACTCCTGGCAGAATCCTTTGAGCTGCTATCATTTGAAGCTGCATCAATGTCCAACGAATGAGGAATACCATTCAATAAAATGCCTTCAAAACTTGTGAGGGAGTTTTCACCATCGTCAGTAGACGAGACATTGCCAGCACCAATGCCACTGCAATCTCTACTACCACCAATTCCGCTACTTGAGGCAAGAGAATTGTTGCCTGTAGAATCAGAATCTTCAATATCCAGACGAGTGACCCGTGGATGTGCAGCATTGCCTCCAGAAGATGATCCACTGCTGAGAGGTGCCAAAGGTGGTGGAGGAGGCTGAGGTGGTTCACGGCGCCCTCTTAAAGCTGTTCCACCAACACCTGATGCTGGCAGGTGGTTCTCCACAACACGTGCAATTGGGGTGGGAACTGTACCTGTGGTCTGAGTTTCTCCACCTGAGGTGCTATCGGTGACATTTTCTTTTCCCAATTCCATCTGGGGGAAAAAACCAACAATTAAATCAAAAATTGAATATTATGCATGAAATAATTAATAGATGCAATACATATCTCTAATAATATAAAAAGATATAAGTGCGTTGACTTACAGCGTGATAATCTCTGAATCTACTGAACCAATAGCGACGAAACTTTCGTGCTAGCTTTCTTTAAAGGTCTGGAGTACTATAGGCTACAACTTACAAACTTTAACCTCAACCTGTTTGCATATGAATTGCTAAGTGATGGGCAGTCTATAAAAATTCTGAATCGATTACTCAGCGACAAGAGCGTCTGGCTGAAGAATAAACTAGCACCATTGAAAATAATACCATTGAAGCAAATTTGAATAATTCTCTAGATAGGAGGGAAGCTTTCCACTATGACTCTCAATTCGATTATTTACACAGCTCTCAAGTTTAAATTGGTAAAATGGAAAATGTTTGTTTATAAACAATGATCCTCTACATATTTCGAAGGTTGCCTTTTATGTTTCGGGATTTCGCAACCCTGGTGTTGCAATCCGGCAACTGATAGCTCTATCGTAAAGTTGGATGTTTTAAGGTTATACGTTCCGAGTACGAGGTACTCAGAACGTTTTGATATACGAGCGCTATTTGTGTTGTTTACAGTAAATTAAAAGATTCATCTTGGCCCAAAAATGGAATTAAATCGAGAACATTTTCGTGCGAATATTTTTAACAACTTTAGACGTGGATTAACTCAGCAAAAGTGCATGGATGAACTTGTAATTCAATTTTTGGCGATGAAGCTCCATCAAGGACCAGCGTTTATCGATGGTATGGTGAATTCAACTGTGATCGAGTTCACTCCCCAGACGACATTTCGCGAAGGTCGTTTAAAATCAGTAGTTGCGTTCCGAAAACCATTGTGAAACTAACATTGTGAGATGCTGAGCAGTGAACTGGATATTGCAAGCGATCGCTCATGTGACGTACCTGGAGATTGAGACAACCTTAGGCATTACGTCGGGACCAGCATACAAATTCAAATATGCATGAACATTTGCTGTCAAAAAATTCTTTTCGCGTTGGATACCGGCACAATCGTCAATAATGCTTGTAAAAACAAAAAAAAAAAAGACTCTAGAGACGATTTACGCGTATGAGCCCGAAAGCTATACAGCAGTCGATGTATGGGCGTTTCAAGATGAGCAAACGCACAAAGCACTTCCAAAGAGATGGTTACCTGTTTTTTTTTTTTTTTTTTGAAAAAACTGGACATGTCGCAACCGTACCACTAGAACAACGCAGAACAGTTAATTCTGAGTGGTACAAAACTATTTGTTTGTCAGCTGTCTTCCAAAAAATCAGGAAAACCAACCGCCGAAGACGAATCACTCTTCGTCACGACAATACGAGCTCTCACACATCGGCTCTGACAACTGCATTTTTGGGCACCCAAAACATCGATCTGATGAGTCACCCGCCGTATAGTCCTGACTTGGCACCGAATGACTTCTTTTAATTCCCGTACGTAAAAACCAAACTGAAAGGTCAACGTTTTTCGACACCTCAAGAAGCGGTTGCTGCATTCAGAATGCATGTTTTGGAGATGCCTCAATGAGAGTTGCAAAAGTGCTTCGACAATTGATTCAAACGCATGCAAAAGTGTACAGATCTTCATGGGGAATATTTTGACAAAAAATCAAGTAATTTTCGATGATTAATATTTGTTTTTGTTCTCTAATCCTGAAATATAAAAGTCAACCCTCTTAAGACCAATTTACATTGTTGTTTTGTATACCGATTATCTCTAATAAAAGAATTCATCCACTTTTTTTTAATAAAAATTGGCAAAAATGTATTTATCTAAAAATATTTATGTCCAACCAAATAAATAATTCTGTGAGTCCTTGGTTTCTATTATTCACATTTCAAGATACATAGTACCTAACACTTTATATCAAATAAAGAAGCTAATATTGTTTCGTTAAGTGGTTCAGTAGATTGTCAAATCATTGTGTACACATAACGTAGGCCCTACATGTTGGTGGATCGACATTGTTTTACAGTTACAATGGTATGATGAAATGATTTACCATAACAATTAAGTTTTGAACTATGTTACTAGCACACATACATACATACATACATACATATACATACATATATGTAAACATATATATCTGTCTTCTTGAGTATAAAAACCAGCAATTACGTTTCAGCATAAATATTTTCATTTACTTTTATGATTATGATTCTTTAATGACGTTATGACATCTATGTCCATTACCCTACATCTATCTGTACTAGCTTACCCAGATGAAAAAACTCGCATGTTATACTATGCGTAAAACAGTAAGTCGCTTCAAGATCACGAGCTGTCAGGAGATAAATTTTAAACCTTTCTTTATGAATGCGACAAAAGAAAAAAGTATAAGAAACGAGTTAGTTTTACAATGTGTCAATTTACTGAAAGTATTGGTATGATATATAAAACTCTAGAAAAATAATATACGTGAGTCTACAAGTACTTTATTTTGTAGTTTAAATTTGTTTATTGTTTTTAGTTAGAAGGTATGTGGGAGCTGGAACTTCCAATAAGAAAAATGTAAAGTTTTTTAGTGGGAAAGTGCATAAGGTAGACTAGAAATTTCCAAATAGGGGGCAAGCCATGATAGGGGTATCTGGGCAGAGCACAGGAATGGAATTACAAGGGAATAGAATATGCCATGCCACAAGGCATGAATAAATGGAATTTCTCTTCTTGGCTAATAATTTACTGTAATAAATGTCCGGGCAATGCCAAGTACTACTTCAGCAAGTACTAAATTAATGTTTTGAACTTTAACTTCTGATAGGCTAATAAATTTCAGTATCTTGAAAACAACAATGACATAATTACACCAGACGTTTCAATATACCAATGAATATCTTTATTAATTCTCCTGCAGAAAAATTGCCCTTACAATGATTCTGTAATGATAAACCGTTATTTACCATTAAAATCTTTCACAAAATATTCTGCTTTTATCATCGATATCAAAGTACACAGCTTTAAATTAAGATAATATGGTATTAAGTGCAGTAATACCAGTAGCACAGTGAATGGTTTATTTCTTTTGGTTCATAGGCAGCTGTTAACTTACTTTTAGATTTTTATTTGCACTTCACCAACTTCAAAAGAATTTCTGATATTTTGATTTATTTTTAAACTATCAATCAATAAACATTATATATTACATTACAATAAAATACTTACAGGAGACTGAAGGGTTATTCTAGCTCCATTTAATCGAGATATCTTTTGCCGTGCATCTGGGATTTTAGTAACAACTCCAATTCTGTTTTTAGCAACAACTGGTAAGTTTGTAGATGTGGCAGTTGAAGCAGTAGTGACAACAGCTGTGGGAACTGTTTGAACTACAGTTTTAATTGGTGGAGTAGAAGTTTGTGTCACAGGTGGAGGAGAAATGCAATCCTTCTGAGGTTGGCTCTGAGTTTGGAGCTGTTGTTGCAATAATCTCTGTTGCTGTTGACGCTGAGTGACCTGTGGCCCCGAAAATTTAATTAAAATCTTAATAACTAAAAAATGGAAATTAAACAGAATTTATTATAATGAATACAAATTTACTATAGTGATCTTGGAAGAATTTTTATTTTTAAATGTATGTATTAAAATAAACAGAAATGTAAATTATTTATATTTTCAAAATTAAATGTTATGTAAAACATCACAATATTATGTTAAAACATACAGCACTGAATACAATAGCTACACAAGTAATATACTATGATGTTAGTAGTTTGCATACAATGAGATCATTTTGTCAGCAACAGTACATCTTAATTCAAATAACACAGCAAGACATGAAACTGAAAGATGCACATTTGAGAAACAATTTCCAATCAACATGAGTTAAAGATACATTATATTAATCAGAATACAAAATATTAGTATATTACCAAAACTACAATTAAAAACAAATACTTTCTTGTTCAAATCTTATTCCTAAACAATTATATTATTTTATTGCAAAAGTTGCATTCTACAAGATGAATTGGAAGGAATATGAATGGACAAGGGAAGAAATTATACTTACCATTACACAAGATGCTTATTATTTACACTTTGAATTTCTAAGATTATAGTTTACTATCAATAAAGGCTTAGGAATATCCAATTCCCAATTATGAGCTACAGCAACAACTTCACTACACACATACAAACAAATATTACTGCATTAAAGACATTCAATATTCTTAAACCATGCAATTATATAAAGAAAAAAAATCACATGTCCACCACCAGGTACAGGATCTTCATTTCCTGACATATAAACCAGTCCTGATAAGATGAAATAAATTGGGGAGCCTACATTATCAAGATAAAACAATAACTCAATTACGAACTGAAGCATTTAAAGAAAATGAGTAAATAAAACCATACTTATTCGATATAAAAATTATATTAATTAGCTGTTTTCCTCAGTTAAATAATTTGATAACTTCACTATTACTCCTCTTCATGTATCACAAGATACATAAACATCATAGTATACTTTTGTAGTATTGTTTCAATTTTTTGATTATACCATTACAATAGAATAGTAGACATAGACTTTAAAATATTATTGAAAACGCTTCATAAGAAAATATCTGATAACTATCTGAATAAATTGGATGACTAATAGGAGCATTGCATATCCATTCAAAAGAAGTTAACTTTAACTAATAAAAGCCTGAGTTAATCTTAGCAATTTAATTGAAAGATTTCCTACATTTTCACTTCAATCCAAAATTCTTTCAAAATATTTTGTAATATTCTATCTTGAAATCCCAAACATTTATTGGACAAGAAAGCATTAATTGAAAAATAAATTCAAAAAGGTTTCAGAGAATGTACTGTCTTAATTAAATTACAATAACAGCTAGATGCCATTGCCTTTTTCAAATGGTAACTTCTGTTAAAAAAATACTGGTATACTATTTTATTATATGATCAATTTATGTTCACTGTTATATGAACAGGAATGAAATTATTTCAAATACTTCTCTTAGATTCAACAGCATTTATACAGATTATAATAATAGAAAAGCAAATTAAAGAACACCATATATTTGAAAATGTTATGAAAGAGAAGAGAATTTGTATTTATCAGTATTACAGCAAAATTTAGTATTATTTATTATAGTCTAAGTTTGTAGATACTGTCATCACAGAAAATTAAAATGTATATGACCCAATAAACTTTCAAGAAAGTGAAGTTCAGCAAATAAAGTAAAACATGATTTTTGTCTAGAACAATCCATTGGAGGTTATTTCTTCATTTAAAAAAAGTATAGAATGTGTTTATGGAATACATTTGGAATTGTATGCTAGCTTTAACAATGACAATTTAATGGTGTTAATATGCAAATGGCTCCTTCCCTAACTTCCAGCATTTCTGCATATTTCAACATCCTGACTTCTCAAATTTAAATGCTATTATCCGGGTTTGTTCGCAGTGGGACTGTTTACCTGCTGTGGTGGCGTAGGTGGTGGTGATGGCTGGTTATCGGATGCACACACTGCAGGCGCAGGCGGCATGCCCATGCTTTCAGCCGCACCAGGCATTACCTTAGTAGCCAGGAGGCTCTTGATGAGGGACGTGCTGCAGGGGCCTGCTGCTTGCCCGCCTTCCTTGGGGGGCTGACTACCCCCACCCCCTCCCAGCAGGGCTTGGCTCAAGTGAGGGTGAGCCAGGACCTTTGCCAACGCAACAGTGATACAACCAAATAAAGACAAAACTCAACACAACCAAAATAAATACTATTCCTAATACAGTAGTGATCTTACACAAAGGTTAAAAAAGGCAAATCAATATTGCTCACTATTTAGAAATTGCAAGCAATACCTGCTTCAACTGCACGAGGAAGTGTGGCTATGTTACAGTTCCCAAAATACTTGGAAGTTATTTTCTATGTAAAATCACTATTGTAAAGATTATAAATACAAAGAGGTATGTTACAAATCAAAGGGTCACGCACACACACACACACACGCATGCACTGTGAAATAAATAAAATACTGTAGTTAATGTTAAATCAAAGAAACTGAAATGCACACACACTTAAAGCTATTAAAGAACCGAATTTGAGAAAATAAATAATAAGAATAATAGCTTTGATTAAAATAAGAAAATGAGAAAAATTAAACAGTTGATTCTTAGCAAACACAGTTCTAGTAATAAATACATAGGCTACAGACACAAACGTCTCAAAAATCTTATTGATTATACTAAATTTTGCATTGCAGTGTTAGTCAATACACTAATTTCAAATATTAAAGCTCATAACAAACAAACAGTAAGTAATAAATGCTTCTAAATTAAATGTAATAGCAAGACACTTCAGTGAATTTTCTTTCAAACCAACAAGGCACTTTCTGTATGTAGCTTTTCATTCAAAAACAATTCACAAGGACAGAAGTGAAGAAGAAACTTAGTTATTAAGAGTGCAGAGGCCTGGATAAATGGGCGGTTTCCTGAGGGACACCAAGGTTTGTCCAATTGAAAATAAGCTTTTTAAAAGATCCAGAAAGCAACAGGTTTCATTTTGTGATCCTGTGACAGAAGTTCATTACAGCTATTTAACTGAGTATTTACTCAGATATCATTTGAAGAGCTGCTCAATTTGCCAGACTTTGAAAAATCTCTAAATGTTTATGACAAGTGGCATATACAACTTATGGTGCATATGCAATGGAATTTGAACTCACTGATGTGCCTAGAATAAAAAAAAGCAGAACTACAGCAATGAGACATACCTGGCTTTTAGCATCCCCTTTAGGTGTCTCCCTGGGTTTGGGTGGGGCACATAGCTGAGCCTTCAGGATAGGAGAGGCAGGAGCAGGGATGACAGGCACGGATGTGTCCACGGTAGGGGCAGCCTCGGCAATGGGTGGTGGTGGCTGCGTGACTGCTGGAGGAGGCGGTGTGGACGCAGAGGGAGGAGGTGTCACTGTCTTGGCCACCACATGCAGGGTCTTGCGCACTGCAGTGGCCGGCTGTGGGGTGAGGTTGGCGGTGGCCACAGGCACAGAGTACGGAGTGATGCGCACCTTAATGCCCTCGTAAAAGGACAGATTGGCGACAGGCTGGTCTCCTCCTGCACCACCAGCCACTGCTTTCTGAGGATTTGGTCCAACACACCCTCCAAAAACAGACCTATTGGAGATAAAAGTCATGTGTTATTAACAGAATAAACAAGCGAAACAGCCACAAATAACAAACCAGTTATATTATGTTTATATTACACACTAAATATCTCAATATTTTCATCCTCCAAACCTATATAAATGAAAGTTCAATGAAGAAGCAAATCCATTACAGAAAATAACAAACTCCCTAATGAAACCAAAAACTTAAATTCAATACACACATTTAAAAATAAACTGAAAGGTTTCCTATTTCACCAATTTCTACAGTTCCAAAGAATATATACAACAGAAACAAGCAGCTATATCAATTTAAACTTTTAATTCCTTTGTTTGTTTCGTTCCATGGGTGATTTCTCAAAAATGATCAATGGATAGGAACGAAGGACCAAGCTCAGGTTTCAAGCTCACTTCAATTTCGTTGTTTAAGTCTGCCACTAAAAAAATAATTTGCATTGTTGGGTTACATTCCTTCCCATTTATCATAATTTCTATATTGTATTAAATGCCAAATTTTATATTAGACACTAAATTAACTTTTTACACATGACTTATTCATAATTATGAATTAATCATCATCACCAACACTTTTATTATTTCTTGCAAAACTATTGGCATATTTTCTGGAGCTGTTTCCAACAGTAGTCTGGCTGAGCTGACCTTATCTAACATTTTAACAATTAGAGCTAAAATATCTGAGATGGTGTAGGGAGATCTGAAACTGTTCAGATAATTCATAATCATACAAATTCTTCTTAACAGATGGCAAATGACACTTGAAAGTACATTTGAATCATATTATACTTTCTTTCCATCCATTGTTTTCAATGCCTAGATCTCAAGTCTGCTGCAGCAAAAAATCTATTTCTTGCTTCACCCCTATTTTTACAATAAACTTTCACTTCAAGTTATAAAAATAGAACTGATTCAAAAAGACCTTCATAATTAAAAAAATGAACAGTTTAAAAGACAGTAACCTGTAAATTATGTTTATTTTATTTATTACTCACCTAACACATCGAGGAAAATGAAGAGGGGCTATTACTCCACGTCGGCCCACCTTAGAACAGGCTGTCAAGTACTGTTTATACATTTCTGCCTGTTCAATACGACAGCCTGCTGCAGGCTCAAATGTAGCCCTCAACCAAGCCAAAGCAAACTGTTCATTTTCATGTTGGGCTTGGCTGGCTGCATGCTGTTGTTGTTGTTGGTAAGTCTGAGTAGTTTGCACAGGCGTAACAGGAGTAGCAACAGCAGGTTGAGGTGGGCCTATCATTATCCCTGGTACAAATAAAACACAATTCACATTTGATTGTGATTTACTATAATGTACACAGAAATTTAAGCCAGGAGAGACCAGGAGGGAGGATTTGAACTCCAAGCCATATTTTTGTAAGTACAGTTTTGTCCCAGATTTTTTTTAAAAACTCTTGTGATTTTCACTATCTTCCCCTCTAACCTTCATCTGCAAATTCTTTTGCTTGCAAAATGATTCCAGGCTATCTGTCAGTTCTTAGAAAACTTTCTTATTTCACTTGTGGTTCTATGAAAGCTTCGAACATATAAGTGACCCGTTACATAACTCCTGCTGTGACAAGTAGATCCAGACGACACATTGACCAAGGAGGCCTTTGTGATGTCCCTCATTTCTGGTAACTTAAACCAACAAGTTACGATCAACTTTCCAGGAGATCAACCCTCTGAACCAAAGTGTGAATGTAGATAAGCTTCAGATGACACCTTGTTCATTAAAATGTAAGTTTGGCATGAGAATTGATACAAAAAATTACTCACAATTTTACAAATAGAATAAGTGCAAACTGATGCACAAAAAAGGCAATTAAAAAACTGTGCCATTAGCCCTGGAAATTTGGACTGCAAACCATCCCATGAATGTAAAAAGACAATAAAAATCACATTTATTTTTCTTTGGTAGAAGTTATGTTGACATTTATTACTATTATTTGAAATGTATGTATTTATTGTCTAATCAGCATAAGTCAAAAAATAATAATTTTTTGTACTTACTAGTGGACAATAAATTATCTTCTCTATTGATACATACACTTCGAATTTTCTAAGGTTGTATGAATAAATTAAAATTAAAAAATACACAATAATGACATTAATTATGTATCTCTCGTTTACATATCAAATATATTCTTTCAACATGTTATGCATGAAAACTTACTTTGAGATTCTTTTCCTCGCAGCAACCTATTATGCTCGTAAAGGAGAGATGATCTCTACCGGTTAAACAAGTGTTTTATTTTAGTATTTTTCCCAGACTCCACATCAATATTTCAAATAAACATAAGTCTTAATTTGTTCAGGATATTACATTAACGATTAGTATTTAGTTGAATCTCCAAACACTTTATCCAGAAGTTTTAAGATATCGAAAAAATTTTATTAATGTTCCACCATCCAATGATTAGAGGGGACAAGATAATATGTTTTCATTTAATTTACCAAATATCTTTCAATGATGAATGTTCTTGATAAATATTTTCTAGTATCAAGGTTATACAAGTTCCTCTTCTTTCCTATTGAAGCTTCTCCCCCCTTATGTTTGGATAATATATTAAAAAATGTGCAAATTAAATGCAGTTGAAGTCATTTATATCTGCTATATTTTAGATGAAACTGACAAGTAAAATAGTGAATTACAGAAATAAGTGAATGACACTGAATTACAGAGAAAAAGGTTAGTCACATACTTCACTCCACACACGTCACTACTTACAAAGATTAGTTACATCATTATATTAACCAATAGAGTGATGCAATTATCTCTGAGATTCACTTGAAATTGCTTGTATATTAAAGTGGAAAATGACAACCTTATTCATTTTTAGATTCCTTCATACTTTGTCCTTCTGTGCTCTTATCAATTTTTACCCTTTGAAATTTAATCACAGGACTCACTTTGAGGAGTGAGTTGCCGCTGCGGGGTCACTGGTGTAGCTGGTCGTGCCTGCATCAACATTGCCCCTTGACTCTGCAGGGGCATGACAGGTGGTGGGGTTGGAGCCACTGGGGCTGCATGAGGGGGAGGGGCATATGCAGAGGGTGTGCCAGACACGGTTTCCACAACGCGCATCAGTATGCAGGCCTTTGGACCATAACTTTGAGCCTGAAACAAAACAGACCTCTTTTGAACTGGATATCCCCCCCTCTCTCTCCAATAAACAATTTTCTTTATTCAATGTAATTAAATAACTATATAATTCTACACTTTGTTTCTTTGTGAATTACAACATTCTGCTTTCAGAAGTACTACAAACCACATCATGCAAAGATAATGAATGTATCCTTACCTCCACAGTGATGAGTGAAACCAGGGTATCCATTACACCATGTACTCTCACAATGCTATTACAAGCACGTTCTCCTAATGATGACAAGGAATAGAGACACTCCAGAGTGTAAATCAGCAACATGATATCGTGCAATGTTAAATATGTGCAGACTTGATCATACACCTGAAAAAAAGAATATTTTTAGTAAGGTGGCATTTTCAAATAAAGTTTCCTCTTATTTGAATTATCTAAGTACTATCCAAACTTGATATGTGTTTATTTCTTCATAATTCAGAAACACCTCCAACATAATTGGAAGAAAGAATGGAATGTGAATGGAAGAAAGAAAGCTAACCCACAAAGACCTCTTAAAATAACCCGTATTATTTCACTTTGATGCAAATTGTCCTACATCCTACACCACAAGATGAAACGTGAAATGACACAAGTTTTCATCATCCTCGTAATACAGATCAGCATATTCACAAGTTGATCTTATGATCTGAAGGAGCGTGATGGATGGATTATAGCCCTACACATAGTAGATCCTCTTCTCATTGGTGCAGAAGAAAACAAAGTGTTTGTGACCAGTTTTGAGGTAGTACTTCTGTGGCATTGATCCAAAACTAACCACATAAAGCAATGGAATGTTCTAATCAAAGCAGTCAGAGCTTCTATAAAAAGGGTCATTATTCAACTCAGCTGCATACAATACTACTAATCCCAGCTGGTGGCCAGTAGGACCTTGATTGCAGTTTTGCATATGAAACTACATATTTACATACAAATGGAATGTATTCTCCTGTTTGCCACCCATAGTTAAAATGAGATGATGCTGTGAATACCCACTGCAATTTCAGCTCAGTTTACTTGCATAGTAGTCTCTTATGATGGCACTGATGCTAAATGCCACTTTCAACACAGCTTGAATAAGAACACACGAGAATTTAATAGCTGATCTATTAAAATTATGTTATTCTTCAGAAAAACTTTAATGTACTTAAAAAAAAACAGACAATAATTGAATTAAGAACTGTATTTTGAGAACTCCAGGAATTTCAATGCTTTCACACTAAAAAACAAAGCAAGAAACCAGAAGTTCATTATTATAACTCAGGATATAGGAGCGTAAAATCTAACTAATATTAGAACAAATTCATTTCACGATCAGAACTCACAAAAAATTATTAATGGATTTATAGTACAATAATCTTACTGTAATTACTGTAAGTTTAATGATTAATGTTATTTAATGTTATCTGAATTTATTACTAAAATTGAACAATTCTGTCACTCTGAAACAAATCTTGCTATATACTTGTGTAATATATTATTATCATTATTACTCTGCAAAACACACTTACTGCGTTTGTTAGATTGGAAAATGTTCAACATATATTCTTTATAACCCAGCTATCCATTTACAGACCATAATTTCAGTGCAAAAGCTTCAGCTCTCATCATCTAAAAACCTAAATCTTTGAGGGAATATAATAATTATACTAAAACTTTGTAACAATATTATCAATTATTCACTAATATTAAGTCAATTGAATTGTCAAGTTCTCCCTTCAATCATCCAGAAGATTTATTCCCTTTTTAACACCAACCTCACATCAACTTCCAATCTTTAAAATGTGTACTGTCCAATGAGCAAACTTGCAATGAGACCAATTCAAAATAAAATAAAATTTATAATGTAATGATAGTTAAGTATGGATCAGAAAACATATTATAAATTCCTTATATTTTCTCTGGTCCTTACAAAGGTTACTAGTACGAGTAAGGAAGTTAATGCTTTATCAAAAGGAGAAATATGCATGCAAATATGCTCTAACATTTATAAAATATGCCAGAACTAATCAAATATGCTCTAACAATTAACAGTTTTATGTACTCATGAACAATTATAAAACTTTTAATTTTAACAATTAATTTTGCATTTTTGTCTCCCCTTGATATTTCAGCAATAGTTTTTAAAATAAAATATTTATGATTTTGTCAGTATCATTGTCAAAGTATCAATTCCAATGCTACAAATTCTTTATCAAAGAGAAACTATCACATAATTCATAATCGAACAAATCGTTTCCAGGTACCAGCGCCATAATATCATCTAAAAGAAGTTCAGACAAATACTGCTGCAATGAACGATTTCCCCACGGTTTCTTATGAACAGCATTCGCATTTATATTTGTGAAGTATACTTTCAGTTTGAGGACACAATATGCATATTAATTAAAATTTCAAAAGAAATATGCCACATTAAGAACAAAAAAGTGATAAAATATAAATAATAATTTAAATATAATGGAAATATGATGCCTTAACACAAAATGCTCAAAACATGCACTAATATGCTACATAAAATCACCAAATTTCTGTTATTTTGATTGTGTTTGGTGGACATTTTATAATTAGCATATAATATTACTCATAATTAAAAATATGATTTTTTATAAACTTGTGGGCCTTATTAGTATATCCCATAAAAATGTATGGGCTATAAAGTTATGGAGGGTAAAATAATAGGTACAAAAATTTAAGAAACTTCAAGTTGTATAGATATTAACATCTATAAAAAATTTTAAATACAGATCATAAGATTTTATGTTGTTAATAGTTTAATTTCAAGTTCATGTTGATTGATTTGTGAATATTACCTTACGAGGTGAGGTATTGTGATGAATTATCACGACTTCAATGCCTAATTCACATAAGGAGAACTTCAGAATGAAACTAGTCATAGATAGAGACATTGACAAGTGATGACTGTCAATGTCAAAATAAATAACCAGAAGAGAAAGTATAGTGAAATTGTCTTTATTAATTAATTTAAAAATATAATTTCTGTAGTGATACCTTATGTAATAAATTTGGGAAACTTAATTAGTTTTATTACTGGAGTTTGTTTATGAACTTACTTCTGGTCTTGTAACTATTGGAGTTGTATCACTCAAATTAAAAATAAAAAGTAGACTGTATAAAATTTTATTACAATGGGCACATTAGAATTAATTGAATTTCCATTGGAATGAAATGATAACTTATATATATTCTAAGGCTTGTGATCATCAATAAGAGGACTTAAAATAATTTGTTGAAAAAAGCATAAGTATAAATGTTTAAAGTGATTAGAATATGATATTGTAGATCTTCTCAGAAGCTATGTGGAACATCCGATTTTCTTCCAGATGCAACTAGGCTGATGCTACTGAAGAATTTGCATTTTACATTTTTAGTAAGGTACTTTGCAAATGCATGGGTTGCGATCAGATCTGAAGCATGAGAGATATTAAATTTTAAGCAGTAATTTATCAGAAGTCATTATAAATATTTTATTAGTTGTTCATCCATTTCAAAAATTGTATTTTCAATAAAATCATAATGCATTTTATGCATAAAGTTATAAGGTCATTAAAAAACACATAAAATCTATCAATTAAAAATCTTCATCAAATGTATTTTTTTTTAAAAAAAAAAAGTAGTGTAATGCACTATCGAATGGGGATCTACCAAAATCATAGATACAAATCAGTACGTATTACTATTTTATGAGTTTACAGAGTTTTATCTTCTGTTGTGACACTTTACCCACTGAGAAAAATGAATTACAGGTGACTGGTACTTGGCTTTCCTTGTCAATTGTTGAGTGAAAAATGATAATTCTCTTGTTATTAGAGAATAATGGTGTTTAATTTTTGCCTCTATCACAAGGTAAAAACATTCTCGGTTTATACAGGGCTCAAACACATAATGCAGGGCTGCGTGGTTTCCTTTTACACCATCTGCAGTATTTAGATTGACCTAGATGAAAAAGGCAGCTTAATTATTCCCTAAAAGAATGAGGGAAACAGGGTTCTGTTTTACACCACGGTCTTTCCGAGCTTCTTTCAACCACCATTATTTTTAAACCAATTAACAAACTTTGACATTGACATAATCAAATGTGATACTTTCATTGTAGCAGTGATTTTGCTATAAAAATGAATTGCTAAGAAGACACAAGTGCTTAAGGATCCAAAACCAACTGATGGAATCCTTTGGTTTTACTTACGCAAATTCGTGTCCAAGAGTCAAGTTTTTGTTGAAATTATAAAATTGCTATGCAAAATATTGATTGCATTATTATGTGGATATAAATAGCTCTAATGTTGCTTTCCACCTACAGTTTTAATCGATATTAGACGAACAGCGTTTTTTTCGCATAGTTATCAAACATCAGACATGCAGCATGGAAGGCCAGAGGTGAACTAGGCTAGTGAACGTATTATTTATGACCATGCTGGCAGAGGTACCTTCTGGTCGAGGTAGCGCAGCATGACGTCCTCGTTCTCGTCGCGCTGGCTGAGCTTGTTGAGGATCTCGAGGCACGCCACCACCACCATGCGGTCCTGCGACGCCAGGCCGCGCGTCACTGTGGCCACTAGGCCCGCGGCCAAGCGGTCGGCAAGCGGGTCCTCCACCAGCACCTCGGCCGCCACATTGCCCAGCATCTCCAGGCCGTGCTGGTGGAGCGCGTTCCAGCGCGAACCGGCGCACAGCAGCAGGAAGCGCAGGAAGCAGCGGTTGCGTGCTAGCACCGTCACGTTCTCCTCGCAGAAGCTCAGGTTGCGCAGGATCTGCGCCACCTGCAGCACGCGCTGCCCGAAGTAGTCCTGCGTGCCGAACGAGCGGCCCAGGCAGAACAGCTCCTCGTCGGACTCGTCCAGCACCAGCCGCGCCGCCGCGGCCGCCGCGCCCTGCCCCTTGGCGGCGGGCGTTTCGGGGGCGGGCCCGCCTTCTGTTGGCGAGGGAAGAACCACCACCTCGTCGTCCATCTCCAGCACAGTTTCGGTGGAGGAGGCGGCGGGCGTGGGGGCGGGGCCGAGGGCCGGGGCGCCGATGCCCCCGTGGGAGCGAACACAGCCGGCGCTGGCGCCGGCGGCTCGTTCAGCACGTCCGGAACGTCCTGGCGGTGCTGCATGAACTTGCGCTCGTCCGACAGCTCCAGGATGTCCGGATCGGCCACCGTGTCCGACCAGAAGTGCTTGAGCGAGTGCTTGCGCACGTGCCCGTACGCCTCCTCGAACAGCGGCCGGAGGGACGCTGCGGAACAGATGCGCGAGGGCGCACGGACCGTAGAGTTGGCTGCCGCGTAGGGAACTCCACATTCGCTTTTTATTTATTTACGCCCGCTTGGCTGTGCCATGGTCTACCTACGCCTCAATAATCATTTGGACACCAACATCGTTAATTACATTTCAATTTATAAAGTTTTAAAAAGTAAAAAAGAAAAAACTTTAAAAATGTATGTGATAGTGGAGAAAGGGAGAGAAAAAAGTACATCTGGTAGTGACCTTTCGTAGATTCGAAACAAATTTGAACAAACATGACCGTCCGTGACCACAAACCCTGGGTACTTGTCACGAGTGTATATTTTTTACTTTCTTTAGGATATGGATTCGCGGTTGATCTGAATGACCAAAAAATGACCCCTAATTTTTACGTGGCTCAGTTTTGTTAAATCTGGGAAGGTGAAAGTTGACTCGATAAGAGCAAGATGCGCAGCACACTCAGACGGGTAAAATGGGACGCCTGTGTTCGCCTTCGGGATATGATTAAACTCGCGTAACATGCGACATTACGCAATTTGTTTCGTTTCGATAATGGATGTTGAGTTTGTGTGTGTGTGTTTGTTCGAATGAGAACGTCTCCGCTTGGAACCGCTCCGAAACTGCGTGCTTTGTTTGGATCAGCCTTGGGCGGACAACTCAGGAGGGTAAGAGGGTAGTCGTTGAACTCACTGTCGTTGAAGACGCCGGCGTGGGCCAGCAGGAAGTTGACGAGGCGCGGACACTTGTCGAGACGCAGCGTGTGCTTGCCCTCGTTAGACAGCAGGGTGCACACGTTGATGGCAAAGTCCTGCTCGTTAGGCAGGGGCGAGAGCAACGAAAGGGCCAGGCGATCGTAATCAGAGGCCTTGTACAGGTCCACGGAGAGGCCATTGTAGCTCCGCAAGTTTTCTGCGAAAAGGACACGCAAAAACAAACAAAACATTAGCTTATCGCCCGCTAAAACTGTGCTCGTAAGATGGGTACAAAGTGCATTAATATGAACTAGTAAACACATAAAAAGATGCTTATGTCTCCCCTCTAAAATAATTATCGTATTGTGAAAGAGTTCATCGTTCGTCGGTTGACCTACACCGAACTGCATCACTTTAACCGGCATTCCCATTAACAACAATTTACAAACGGCAAATGTATTCGTTAAATGTAATGTTATTTCGTTAAATGGTATATCAATAAATTTATAGCCATAATGTCAAAGCCAAAAGCCCTTCTCACACCAGAAGCATTATTATTTGTCGTGGTGTCAGGCATGACTGGTTAGATACAAAAATTGTGAGTTTGTGATAGCTATATAAGCACATTTGAGAATTATAAGCAATTCCCCTCTAATTCAATTTCCCAAGAAGAAACACCGTTCCATCTAAGTTTAAGCATTCGGCTAAAAACAAATCGCTGTCTTGTGTACTAACAAACTACTTTAAACTATTGCCAATATCTTCCCTACCCATATGTTTGTTCTAGGTTGCCGATCATATCGAAGGTATCTCTTTGCGTCGTTGCCTCCTCACTGCTACTAAAGGTTTTCTATGAGGAAAGCGATTAAAAAGAAAACCAATGGATGATTTGATGGCATGTCCTTAAAATACGAACAAAATAATTTGAAAACAGAAACACGAATGATACTATCTGAAAGAAGGCGTATCGCCAGAATACTGACACTCAACCTTCAATAGTCATACAATACACCATTACATTGCTTAATTGTTTTCCTATTCCTTTCCAACACTGGCATTTTTAGAAAAAAAACTAATCTCCTTTTATAAAAATTGTGATCGACAAAATCCATTAAATAAATAAAACCATTTTATAGTATATTAAGGCATTTCAGCGCTTCAATGCTATGAGGCTGGAGACTTCGATGTCAGAAGTTAATGATGTGTGCTTTAGTAATAACCGGAAATCCTGTGTTAGTCACGATTTTTTTTCTTTTCAAGGCAATGTCGAAGAGTAACTACATAGGACATAACACAAAGCCGGATATTTCATACGATATACACCGCATACACGTCACATCCTTCCCATACAAAATATTTGATTAAAAATTGACATCTTGAACTTAAACAAAAGGTGACAAATGGAGAACGATCCACGACAATCACCTAGCCACCACCCATCGATTTCGGCGCTGGTTTATACTGAAATATCGATGTATCAGCATTGCTTTAAGTCATTGGAATAGAGAGATTACTACAAGAAGACATCGCTGAGACAGCTACGGTTTGGCCACCGCTGGCAGGTTTATGCACTCATTTTGTCAGTGCGTTCGAATACAGTTGGCTCATTTGTAAATGGTTTCATCTCTATCTCTTGTAATGACATCGCCCTGCATTCCATTCGTTTCCCTTTCTGTTAAAATGATCCCTTCTTAAGAGTCACACCTCTATACCACAAAGTTTTGCCGAAGGGCTAACTGTCCACAACAATCGTCTAAACCATTCTGTATCTCAAGCCCTGGCGGAAGGGCAGTGCTGACAAACCGTCTACAACAATCGTCCAGCCGCCTATACCCACCCTCCGCCACGTGGGTCGTGGGCGGCGCGCACAACACAGGGGTTCGGGGCCGGCAGTAGCGGCGGCGCCAAGAGAGCGAGCGCGAGAGCGCGCGCGCGACGAGCGGCGGGGTCCCCGCGAGCTGGTTGGGCGAGGGGTGAGGCGGAGAGAGGGGTGATGGTTCGGAGAGCGGCGCGAAAGCAAGCGAGCTAGCGGGCGCGCCAGACGCTAGCCAGCAGTGCCGACGGTCGGACGGCGCGGAGGAGCGAGCGACGGGCAGGCGGGGCGTGCGCGCCAACACCCGGGATCACCCGCGCCCTGGCTACCGCTGCCGTCTGTCCGCCCGCCCCGCGCGCCGCTATCGGAATCGGACAAGTTGCGGCCAGTTCGCGTTCATTCCACTGTTGGAGCCTTTCGCAGCAATCCTCTCGCCTGCCCTCGTTGTGGGCTGGTGAGCCAACGTTTCATTCACCCTTCCGTGGCCCGTATAGGGCCAAATATCTATTGACTATTTTCCCCTATGGGAGTACCAAGTGACGCTGTAGGATATCAGACTCATGTGACTGACGTCAGCCGTGGACTGGACAGACAAGATTGCTGCCTTCTTTCCACAGGGTCTTCTCCAGCCTTGATTGAATGACGCAGCTCAGAAAAAGCGGGAAACCTGGCAAGTTATTTCCCGGCCGAGAACAAAGCTCTGGGAACATCTCATTGAGGGATTCAATAAGCAACATCCTCTTGATGAGGCTACCTTTGGTCTTTGACACAAGTTGTGGCATGGGACTAACAAATGACTTTCACCTCACTGAGACTCATCGAAGAAACTTTTGGATTCCAAAAGTTGGTTCTCTTTCAATGCCGATAATGCTGACTCCAGAAAATAAACAGCGAAACCAAGTTTGGATAATTTCATCTGGTTTTTCTTTTGGATAGTGAATTAACTAAATCAGTGCCACTGTACGAATGCGTTTTCACCGAACCTCTTTCTAGATCAGTGGCACAGCTTCGGTTTTTAGAACCCATTGCATTGGATTTTGCAAATAGTCGCTTCCACCAGCAGATAATGGAGACGGTTAGGTCACGATAATGAAGTGATGGCTAGCGCGAACGCCTTTGATCCCTAGCCAATTTATGAGAAGTTTGTGATGGACAAAGTGAATTCTCGGCATGCTTTCTCTGGGTTCTTCCGCGCCTCCAACCTCTTGTTTTATCATTGCTACATCAGTCATCCCATTATCGCCATCAGCTACTCATTACATCATCAGGCATGTACCTCATGGACTCATGCGTTGAAGGATACCTAAACCCCCAATAATTATATAAAAAACTAACAAACAAGTAGATAAAAAATAAACTACACTTCACGAACACGAAATATAATGCGTAATCACGTAAACAAACACTTCACGTACGAAACAACACAGCTTGGGAACTTGTACATAACACATAGGCGGGGATCTAAAGTACTCAAGGGTGGGCTAAAAGACTTCAGAGAGCAATGTTTACATCTTCCCTACGTCTTTCTCGTTGCCACCAGTTCCAAATGAATTTTCGGACGCATTTGAACGGGCTCCGCCGGGTTGCCGGACCAAGCGTCCTACCGGGACAGGATGTGGCAAACCCGTTCAAGTAGCGCCTTCGTGTTTCCGGTGGTCTCCATTCGGCCACACCGCGGAGCCGTTAACAGGCTTCTTATTGGTTCCCCGGTCAACGCCGTCGCCTCCCCCTGAGTGTCCGCTCCGCTCCGGCCTCACTGACCGTTTAACATCCGACACGGTCCAACGTGTATAGGATGTTCCAACAAGAGTAGCCATCGTCACTATCTATTACCGCAACGCCGTAGAGAAGATGCGGGCATATTCTAGAACAATTTTGAACAACTATGTTTTCAAGAGTTTTTCAAAACAGAAAAGAAGTGATAGAGAAAAATATTTCCCCGCAGCTAAAATCTGAATGTTCGCGGCATACAGATAGTTGGTAAAAACGACCCAGGTAAGTATTCGGGTTGCTGTAGCAAGGTAGTCGTTTATTACTTAAAAGCACATCCAATTCAAGTAATCAGACATCGTAAAAACCAATATTTCCCTCCGATCAACAAAACCACCTCGTAACACCTGTAAAATAAGATGAAATGAAATACATTTTCCCCAAATCTATTTTGTTATTCCGAAAGCAATGCTTTATTGTGAATAACTTAATTCTCAAGTGACAAATAAATGCCCCACCAATCGATTCCGATAGACTTGCCCAAGCACGCCACACAAGTTTGCCCTACTTTTCAACAGAATTCCTGAAGTCACGCGGTCTACATGACCGCGTTTACGCGAAGACGCCGGGTCCGAAGTCAGGAAACTGACGCCCATAAGTATGCGCAAATGGGAGGGGGGGCAGTGGTTCCCACGAAAATGCTGAAAGCGGTCCCTTAGCCCTACGAAATAAAACTTAATTTTCCTGAATATGCTCAATATGTGACTTTCCCCCTTTTTAACCTCATATTTTGAAGAATTGTTATACGTTTAGGAAATAAGCTCTCCAAGTCATCTGTTAACTAAGTATATACTCCAATACAAGATCAATTGTTTTTATTAATTACATCGTTAAAATTATAATTTCATTCTGCTTGTAGTCTGTTTTATTAGTAGTAAAAACATAAGGAAGAGAAACATAAAGTCCCAAGATTTGGCTGCACACGCCATTTTTGATTGGAAGACCCTTCACAAACTCTCCTGAAAGCCATTTGGACGCTCTTCCCTGCTCCCATCACCAAGAGGCGCATTGTTCGGTCACAGAGCTCAAAATACCTCGCCGCATCCCTAGCGATGAGTTAGCAGGTAAACATGCTGACGAAGCCTCGGCGAGGCGAAGGAGATCATGAGTATTAGTAAAAATTATCACACAGACGTTTGAAGAAGTCTACCGGAGTAATGATTGTTGTCTCATTAAAATAGCCACGAAATCGACGTATAAGAAATAGATAACTTGTCTGAGAGTTCCTTCGAACTTCCAAGTATCTACATACTAAATACCTGAATGATGCCGTGATCGCAATGTGAATAGCATCTCAAAATATTTTTACATTCATCAGTAAAATGGGTTACTCCAATGTTAACACCACTTAGAAAAATACGCCTGGGATGACTGAGAGAACTCTGGCACGAAGAAGATGAAACAGAATACCAACACAGAAGGAGAGATTGGTGCAACTTATTTTGCTTTCTTATTAACAGATCTCTGAATTAATTTGTACGAGCATGGTGGATCCGAGAATGGAGCCAACACGGCACTATAAAACATTTGATAGTTTTATTTGAAGGCAAGCGAAAAAGGGGGAAGCCAAGAGCGCAGTATGTAAAAGGGATTGCCGAAGATGCCAATTGTACATCTCAGGAAAGACTCGGAAGAGCAGTGACAAGGCCCACATGAAAAGCCGTAAACCAGTCTACGGTTTGACGTCTGTAGAAGACCTCCGTGTCTCCTCAAACTCGAGCGCCCCAAGGCACACCTATTGGATCTCCCTGGACCTGAGCACGGCCGAGGGCGCCCCAAGTGCTTGCCAAGACCAAGCTGGACACGTCGCGCTGGCTGTGGACCAAGCTGGATACGGCACGGCACGGCCACGGCAGCGGCAGGAGCGGCGCGGTGCCGGCGTCGCGTCGCGCGGGGTATCAATGGAGTGTTACGTCGGCGTCGGTCGGCGGTGAGGTCGGTGACCAAACAGGGCCTGGCGGGGCGAGCAAACGTCAAGCCGCCGCCGCCTCCTCCTCCTGTGACGTAGCCTACGTCACCACAGCGCACACGTGCTCGCGGGCGGCGGCGGAGCGGCGCGCGCGTGTAACGAGAGGTACGTGGGGGCGTATAGCAAAGTGGGCCGTGAGTGGTAAAGGCGTGGCGTGGCGGGGCGGCCAGGGCTGGGCAGGGCGGGGGCGGGCAGGGCGGGGCGGGGCGGGCAGGGCGGGGGCAGGGCAGGCAGGGCAGGGCAGGGAGGGCAGGGCAAGGGCTAGGGCAGGGCAGGTTAGTGTTGCAGGGCAGGTGCAGGGCAGGGCAGGAGGGCAGTTGGGCAGGGCAGGGCAGGGCAGGGAGGGGCAGGGTCAGCGGCAGGGCAGGGCAGGGGCAGAGCCACATTAACTTCACCAATAACATACTTAACACTACCATTAATTTGCTTCACGCTCCTCCAGGTGAACAAACGCTAGTTGTCTGTTCCTATCTGGCTAGTTGGTGAAAGAAGCGTAGCGAAATTTGCGTGGTCAGACGGAAGAGCAGGCCTCATGGCCTAAGTCTCACCACGTAAAACAAAGCATTAATTCAATTCAGTCAATCTTACGATCCAACTTTCTGTATTTTCTAGGCTCTCAACAGTAAATGCAACGAGACTTACTGAGTAGGAAATGGAGGAAAGATTTGCAGGACAAGAATAGTTTAAAACCAATTGAATTCTCCTAGAGCAGGGAAAGCAGTGTTTTGTTTCCTCGATATGGTAGATCATTATTTAGTACATCAATTTCGAATGTTACACTCAACAGGACATCTCAGCTTGTTTTTCACAACTGTCTCATTGGATTACCCAATTATACAGGTTAATGACCGATTTTTCACATCCAGCCGAAACACACATGAAAAATTCAGGAGACATCTTTAAGAAATGCTTCCTCCCCTCAACTATAGAAATTTGCTTCGATATTTCTCAGCACCAAGAAGAAGAAAAACATACTCAGGACAACATTTGGGTATAGAAAGTGTTGGCCTGTGGAGAGGAGATGGATAGGAGCGCTTCAAATAGTGATTGCAGAAAATCAATTTAATATTAGTCTATGTTTATAAAAATTAAAAGAGGACAAAGAGAAAAAGCAAAGGGACAAGAAAAAAGGGTGGGAGACTTACAGACCTACGAGGCTGTCGTGCAGAGATGATTAGTAAACAGTCGCGGAATACCTTCGGAGAAAGATCGATGCAAGAAGGTGCAAAAGTAGAGTTAATGCAAGCTGCTGAACGAGTTGAGTCAATGGAATGAAGAAGTAGAAATACTAGAAACCGTCAGCTAAAATAGACTGATAGGTTGAGAACAGCACCGGGCTGCTGGTTGGAATGCCACAAAGACGTACATGATTTCACTGCGTGGGCGTGGGGAGTGCCTTTCGAAAGTCCATCTTCATCGCCGTTCAGACACGAAGGCATGCGATGCCGATCGCAACTCCCACGAGAGGGGATCTCCAAAGTCACGCAGGCAGCTGCGCGCTAACCGTGCCTCGGGGTTTGGCCCAGCGAGTGTTTGTCGGCTATGTTGTTTATTCCTTGTGTTTGCTCTTTAGTTTCCATAGTAGCTGCTACTGCAGCTCCTTTAAGTTTTCACTCGCGGCAGCGTTCGGGTTTCCGGAGGCATATGCAGAGCGCGCTGCAAACGGTGAACAAACATGACTCACAGTAGGAACGCGGTCGTGATGTCGCGTTGCAATCATGGACACAAAGGAAATGGCGGAGCTTCGAAGCTGGCTGCAAGTGTGACTTGTAGTTAATTAAATTTTTACCAGATGCGTTGGATTACGTTGTTCCCAGTCATCAACTGAAGCTTAGGGGGCATTGGAAGTTTATAGGTTCGACTACCGACGGCGCGCAGGCATTTTATACGCTAACAAATAGCTGAGTCGGTGTCTAGTTTCCTCGATCAATTCTGGGCCACTTGGAGATGAGATGATTCTCCATTAGCACTAGAATAACGCGAACGTCAGGCCAAAGCACCACTGGCTGGCAGCGCTGCTTGATGATACACATGCAGCACCCCATGCCTTCCAGTTCATTTGCCGTAAGCTAAAACTCCGCGTCAGCCTCGAACGAGACTCTCAAAACGACCCGAGAACGCGCGCAAAGACGACTCGTAAACATACCCTACCTCGGAGTCTCCCTGCCGCGCACGAAAACGTGGAATTATTTTCCTGCTGATGAGATAATACAGAGGTAGTTGAGGAGCTAGGTGCACTATCGGACATGTTAGTTATTCTTAGGGAAATAAAAGGCTCAAACTATTCTGAGATAGAGGAAGAGAGATTAGATCCTTTAATCTCCAAGAGCCGAGGTCTGTACTGCAAACTGGAACCACACTGCGCGAAAAGAAAGTTTGAGAGTTCGAATCCGATGTACAGATGTTTGCACTAGATGTTGAAGCGTGAAAGGCAATGCGAGACCAGGCATCCCAGAATTTAGACCCAGCACAATTCATGAAGTCAAAATTGCTTAGTGCCGAGTGGTTTCCCAGCAGCTATATATTTACTTCAGTAAAATAATAATAATAATAATAATAATAATAATAATAACAATAATGTCTTTAGGGCATAACACCCTCAACTTTATAAACATATGTGCGTCTGCTGATCGACGCATTCTTTCAACGCTGGTAAATCCCGGGTCTCCGCCACATCGTTCGGGCTCCCTCTGCCTGTCTCTTACATCGTCGGCGGAGATCAGTATGGACCCTGCGTGGGCTACCACCCCACACAATTGACCTGTTCTACCAGAAGGCATAAATCCCTGGAGTTGGCACCTACGGCTTTTCCCCTTTGTCCGCATCCCGCCCACGCACAACTACGTCGACAGGCTGATATCCGGATCCTGCCGGAACGCGCCCTGACGGCCACCACCCCATTCAATACCTAGGTTGGGGCGCCGTTGCCATGTCAGAGCTTCTAGCTATCCAGAGGAGTACCGGAGTCCAAGTAATGCGCTACTCACATGCGCCGGGAACGAGTCCCTCCTCTTTGCCCAGTGTCGGGCCACTCATTGGCGCGGGTTCCACCAGAACGCAACCTGACAGGGGTGTATCTGGTCCGCTCATGTGACTTCTGTAAAATTCCGAGTAACGTCTCTCGCCCAATCCTGCCCAAATGTCGACGCGCCCAATTGGTGGTTTACCTGGCGGCTACACGGGGTTTGGCATCGACAACTCACTTTCTCTGCCTTGAAGCTAACGGCGTGAAACTCAGGGTCCGGGTCGTCTACAACTTAACATCAGACATCGCGACCATCTACGCAAACACGATTTTCTACTGAGGGGGAGACCAGTCGTTCGCTGCGGGGGAAACCGGTGGCGGAGACTAGTCGGTCTCTCAACTTGCAGCACTCCGCTCACGGCAGACGACGAAGTGGTGCGATTAAGTCACGGCATGACGACATCGCCGCCTGCCCCCCTCCCCGCGTTGAAGAGATCGGTAAAGGGCAGAAAAATTCCTCTTGACGAGAACTGGAGTATTTCCCAACGAGCCCTGACACGAACGGAGAACAAGCATAAACACTGACATTCGAGGTAGTATAAAGTAAATAAAAGTTCAGAATTGTAAAGGAAGATGTGGATTAGCACAAGGCAGGAGAGAATGAAAATGAAATGAGAATGAAAAGGAGAGTAAGAGTCAAATCGTGGAAATCAGAGACGAAAGGCAAAGCAGGGCAAAGGCAAAAAGGTGAATATTACAGGATGAGAGGAAACGAATACGGAATGAGATGAGAAATTAGTAGGAACATCACGTGGGAGAACAGCAGGGTAGGGCGAGAATTTTGTACGAGGCCAGGGAATGCACCATGCGAAGTTGGCAGCGAGCGCAATGATTGCAAGGAGCGGGAGCGGAAACGGAAGCGGGGCAGTGTGAAGTCGGTGGCGGGGTCGGGGGTGGGGTTGGGTTCGGGGGCGTGGCGGAGCGACAGCTCGCCGGGCTCACAGCACCTCGCTAATCAATAATGTAAATCTCGCGTTGCCCTGGACTCTGGCACGGCGCGGTGCGACGTGTCGCTCTCGCCGACCGCTCCGGGTCTCCGGGTCGCCGCGTCCCTGCTCGCGCGAACAGACGGCGATTTGACGCTTCCCTTTCACCCTGTCCGCGAACGCAACTCCCATTTATCACGTTTGGGCGCGGGATTCTGCACACGGATTGGAATGAGGCTCTACCAACTATGACGGCAGCCTCGGAGCATCTGGGTCAATGAAGTCCGCAGAAATGAATCTGTTCAAAATATCGCGCAGCCTCTTCAGAGAAAGATATGACAGATGCTAATCTAGTGATCACATAAAATTGATGGGATTAGAGGCAAACATATTTCAGGAGCGATTGTATCCCATCGTTCTCAATATGTTCGCCCGTTGAAATGCAACTAATTCTGTGTTTTTCAATATCAGATTGCGTGAGCCTTTCCGTTTCGAAATGGAGTTCCTTGCGCATTATCTACTACATTTTCCGTCGTGCTAAAAAAGGCATTTGTAATCACTATTCAGAAAAAAAGAGAAATATGCCAGTTTTACAGAAATTTTATTGGAACTGAGGCCACAAATATTCATAACCCGAACTCTTTCGCTCGTTCTATTTACTTGCCACTCTTACGCTCAATATCTGAACAATGAAACAAAAAAGATTTGTAAATATCAGCAACAGTTTTTGTTTAATCACAAAACCTTCCTGTCTTTTCATACAATAAATATCAACACATTTTTGTACATTATAAATAACTCGGATCTAAATTATCGATGTGTATTGTGTGTCTACAGACGTCAGGAAAAACTTGGAAGAGTTTGGATATCACTTTGAGCTAAGCAGAAGGAGCAGTTTCAGGTTCAAAAACCAATTCAAGGCCTTTCTTTAAGTTTTGCTTTAAGAATCTATTGAAGGCAGACTCGTCATGCACAATGCATTGAAAGGAAACTAAATGCGTCGTCATAGAGATAGTAGTAGTTCGTGGCAAAGAACCTCTCCAGAAGAATGAGATGAAGGAAGAGGGTTCAGTGGAAAGAATGGGAAGAAGGAAGGAGGAGGAGGAGGAGAGGAAAACGAAGAAACGAGGAAACTTCAAGACGTCAGTCCTCGCGGAGCCATAGCGGAGCGCATGGAAACGAGACGGGTGTGTCGTGTCGAGCCTCCCCAGCACGACTTTTCCTCCTACTTGCCGGAGAGATCGACAACTCCTAAATAATTATTTCAAGAAAGACGACCGCCGCGCCGAGGAATTACTTATGGAGTACGGTAATGACGCCCCCGGGCCCCAGGCCACCGTGGTCGGGGGCGTGGGCGGGGCGGACATTAAAGTTTCACCCTTCATTTACTTTTCAATTACGCGCGTCGCGAAGGAGCCCCTTCTTCCTCTCGCCATCGGAGGGTTTTGCGACG